TATTTGACTCACTTGAGTTTCCAAGTTTAAAATTTTAGACTTGGTCTCATTTTGGAATTGCACCATATTGTTTTGCATGATGGTCATGTTGGTAGTAAGAGTCCGAAGCATGTCCTCCGTAGACATGTTGGAGAATGGATCATACATCATGTGAGGTACTTTCCTTTGGAAGCCAACATAATCAAAATTTCAAGGTATTCTTGTTGGAGTTTTGGGCAAAAATCCGTAAGATGTCCGTGAGACATGCAAATGTTACATGTTTTGGCATCTTGAGCTTCTGAGCTTAAGATATATTCCTTTATTAGAGAAGTCAAGAAGGAAATTTGACTCTCTAAGGATGATGTGTTGGTATCCATATACTCATAACTCATGTAAGCTCAGAAAATAGAAGAGTAAGTTTTTTTTTTACACAAACTAACAAAGAATTTGATCAATCTGGAAAAGAATTTAATCAATCAGAAAAGAAACCTGAAAAAAAGAAACATATAGAGAAGTAAATAAGAAAATTGAAGATGTGTTTTTAGATGACTTGTGTTTTTTGGTTAAGTTAAAGGAAGATGTTGTGTGGTACACTTTTCTTGCTTGAAAATAGAGATATTACCCGAAATAGGACTAAAAAGGTTTGAAAATTCCAAAATAGGACTGTCATGTTTTTATTCCCAAAATAGGACTAATTACTGTCATGTTTTGGCAGTACCAGACTTCAAACATGACAGTATTTTCCAAACTTGATAATAATTACTCCTATTTTGGGAATAAAAAACATGTCAGTCTTATTTTGGAATTATCAAACTGTTTTAGTCCTATTTCGGGAACTTTCCCTTGAAAATAATGTTACACGATCATTTTTAGGTTATGGCATTGGCATCAAAATTTTCATGCCCCTTATTATGTTCGGATTGAAGTGTAATGCCAAATCCTAAAGAAGACTATGACTTAAGGCATGACCAAATGCAAAAGTTTAACACAAAATGGCCACTCAAAGGTAATTCTAAGCATAAGACATGACCAAATGCAAAAGTTTAAAACAATCAGGAAGTAGATAGTAAAACAAATAAAGAAGCTCCTCAATAAAGCAAAATTTAAAAAAGAAAAAGAAAAAGCAGCACCTTAAACCTATAGACAACCCATAAAGAAGAGAAACTTTCAGCAATGTCAAATAGTAGGAAAAGACTAAAAAAGTTCACCCTTTTAGCTCAAGTTCTTACTGTCAGCATTCTAGGCCATAAATCCATCAAAAGCTGCTATTTGGAACATATTGGATCTTTTTTCTTGCCTGCTTTATTTCATATCTTACAGCCCCATTTGCTTGGCTTTACTTGAAAGTTAGATTTTTTGCAAACTAACAAAACTCTAAGAATAAGTCTTCACCGACCCATGGAAAACTGCAATATTACAGATTGTATCATATTAATATCCGAAGTAAGGAAGCATGATCATAAATAATTAAAAAAAGAAAAAGGAAGATTGAAAAGCTAAGCATGTGACCTCATGTTGTATACATCTGCTTTTAAAGAATATACTCCATCATCATAGTAAAATAATGGTTGTCCTCTGGAGAGTAGTATACATTGGCACATTTAGCACCTAGCAGAATGACAGAATCAACAGTGACAAACTTTCATGGAGAACCAAATAAGATCAATGTTAACACTAATCTATAGGTTGAGTTTATAATTTTGATCCAAAGCAAAAATGTTCCTCTCGAACAGAAAATGGAAACGATGTTTGCCGACGATAAACAATCTGCAAACCACTTTTATTTCATTCGGTAAATATAATACGTAGTATCAATCAACCAAAACTAAAAGTGAAATCTTATACACAACAAAACTCAAGTTAGAGAACAAAAGTTAATAATGGATATCCTCATATCCCTTTCACAACAAAGAAGCTAATATTCTCATTAGCATGAAAAGTATGGATGTTCGGTTGACTTCATTCACCCATGTGGCCATATGTACAAATTTTTAAAAACTAATATAATTGCCAGGTGAACCAAAAACCGGAAATCTTAATTAATCCAAACAAAATCGTTTCGTTCCCATCTTAAAATAATTGGATATATAAAGAGGAGAACACGGAATATGAAAAGCCTTTACCTTTAGAGTTTATGGATGATCCCATGATAAAATCCACCAAAAATTGCGATATTGAATTCCTAAGCATCTCCGACCTGCGCCAGTGGGAATCCGATTGAGAGATGACGATGGAGCTTGATAAGAAGCTTGAATCGGATGAAGGTTTTGTCGTGACACGATTGAGTTAACTATGCTGGATGTACAAAAAATGGACGGATTCGCCGATTGTAAAGGAAAACTGAAGATGGAGAAGGAAATGTGCCATTGAGAAGGAAGAGTTGACTGCGCTGGAAAAGGAAACACACAATTCAAAAGGAAGGGCTTTGAATGTAACTGTAAATGCAGTAAATAGAGGGAGAGAAGCGATTAAATGGAGGATAAGCAAGAAAGGTTTGGGAGAGGGACTCTGCCTTTAGGTATATAGGATTGATAAAGGATTCTTTATTTACAGCTGATGCATCACTCTACCATCTCTCCTAATCAGACATTTCTTCCCATTTCTTCCCATAGAAATGATAAGGGGCAAAAATCACATTATATATGCTTTTTAGCATAAAATACATTAGTGTTTTAATGACCCTGGTGAATCTAGTTCAATCATAATTGTTTGGTGATGGTGGAAGACAGAGAGTGAAATTTTACGATTTGATAAATAAGACCATGGAAGATTTGAATATAAGATCATTCAACAATCTGCTTTCCACGGAAAAACTGCACTTTAAGTATCATTCCAAAATAGATTCTAAAAGCACACCCTTTCATCATTTTTTATCCATTAGTTCAAATTAATCTTACAGGTTTCTGTTTTTCTTTCCAAATCTTAATAGTGTAAAAAAAATCGAAGTCTCTAAAAATCGAAGTGATTTATAGTTACCAAGTTTACCTTTATTAGGGCTGCGAAATCAGAACAAATCCGCAATGAAATCAAGAAAAAATGGTTCTTCCTAAACTAAGTAAAAAGGCCTAGTAAGGTAAGTACTTTTATCTAATTTCATAAGAGATGATAAAGAGAATAAAGACAACTGTGGACAGAAGTGTAATGTATATTTAATACTCCCTCCGTCCCTTATAACTTTGCCAACTTTCCTTTTTTGGATGTCCCATTAACTTTGCCATTTTCCCTTTTAAGTAAAGAATTTGTGGTTCAAGTTAATTCTCTCTCTTCTGCACAAACCTCAACCACACAGTTTTTACTTTATTAATCCTCGTGCCGGTCAAACTTGGCAAAGTTATTAGGGACGGAGGGAGTATAAAGCTGTTAAAATTAAGTTCTATTTGGAATTGTACATTGTGATTGGTTAATCACAAACCCTAAATTGCACAGTGCCTAGCCGAAAAACAAAATGAAGACTTCAGTAAAGAGTACTAACAGTTTAGGATCTAAAGCAGTGGCATCCCCCTAATATCATCACAGTGATAAACAAATATCAATATAGAATACCAAGGGCTACAACGCACCAAACAAAAGTTTCAATCCGTCATAGCTCAAAATGTATTTGTGTCGTCCAGCGAGGTGAACCGGTACTGTGGTGCAGAAATTTGGATGAAATCTGGAACAAGGCTTGGTGGGTCGACTGGAGAAGAGAAGGCAAATGGCGTTGGGCTGGAGAAGAAAGCAGATGGCGTTCGGCTGGAGAAGAAAGCAGATGGCGTTTGGCTGGAGAAGAAAGCAGATGCGTTCGTGCGTTTGGCTGGAGAAGAAGGCTGGTGCATCGGCTGGAGAAATTAGACGGGAATAGTATTATCCGGTGAAATTACTTATTAGTCCAAAACACTTAGGCGGGAGAATTTTATCTCTCCAGTGTAGTGCTTTTAGGTGTAGTGCATCGTACTCAATGACTTGATGTAAATGCCTAAATGGATATTTACTTTTTTAGTCACAGTGAATTAATTTTTTAAGAAAATTATTCATATCCTAGGTAACGTTCAGGTTCACGATCTGGTTTGATATATATCATTCCTCTATGTATTTTTAGGACTGAAAATAGTTCAAAATATAATACCTCACGTAGTATGTTTCAATTTTTTTTTTATCGTAGTATGTTTCAATTTTTAATAATTAAAATTTACATATTTAGAAACTAATTTGAAATCTCTTCAAAATTGAAGATTCTAAATTAGAATATAATTAAAATTTGACATCCTAATTAAGCAAATAAAATGAAACTGTGATTAAAAAAAGTCAAATTTACAACTCAATTTGGGACGAAGGTAGTATATTTTATAGAATAATAGTCAAAGTCAAATTCTGAAGTGAAATAGTGTTTTGCGCAACTAAACCAAATTCTAATTAGTGATAGTATTCCGAATGAAATAGAGAAACAAATCATCAGTCAAACATCGTAAACCGAACGAGATCTTCTTTCGGGGACGGAGGTAGTATTAAAACTCGTCTCAACCCCTAAGAAGATTAATAAAAAAGAACGGAGCGAGTATCATTTAACGCATTATTGTTCATTTTGTTAGTAAATGAAATCAAATCGTACTCAATGACTTAATGTAAATGCCTAAATGGATATTTACTTTTTTAGTCACAGTAAATTAATTTTTTAAGAAAATTATTCATATCCTAGGTAACGTTCAGGTTCACGATCTGGTTTGATATATATCATTCCTCTATGTATTTTTAGGACTAAAAATAGTTCAAAATATAATATCTCACGTAGTATGTTTCAATTTTTAATAATTAAAATTTACATATTCAGAAACTACGTTACCTAAGAGATTTAATTAATAATTAAATTTCTTTGAAATTGCAGACTCTAAATTAGAATATAATTAAATATTGACATCCTAATTAAGCAAATAAAATGAAACTGTGATAAAAAAAAGTCAAATTTACAACTCAATTTGAGTTGGGACATACTACGTATATTTTATAGAATCATAGTCAAAGTCAAATTCTGAAGTGAAATAGTGTTTTGCGCAACTAAACCAAATTCTAATTAGTGATAGTATTCCGAATGAAATAGAGAAACAAATCATAATTAAAGACCCCAAATTTGTTTTATATTCCGTACAAAAAAACAGATTGGACTCGACTTCCGTCTATTTTAACGGAGGTGATAAAGTACATCGTACAACAAACTCTAGACGCTAAAAAACGTCGCCGCCGGTGAAAACTGCCGGCAAACTGACAAACCGGCGGCTTAGACACAATCTACTGTACTGCTAAAAACGAATCAGCACCGGAAAAATCACCGCAGTCTTGGAAATAATCGTCGACGCCCAGGGTTCCAAGGTCCTGAAATGATTCATTAAACACCTCGAAATCGCCGCTAAAGAATTCATTGGCGAATGCATTCAGGGAGAAATCGTCAAACGGCGGGACCAAATCCGATGGAGTATCGTCGAATAACATCTGCTCCAAATGTTGGGTATCGAAGAAGTTGTCGATGAACGGAATATCCGACGGCAAATACTCAGAATAATCCGTTAATACGTTGGTTTCTCCGTGACATTCCTGAATCGGCGGCGGAGGCTTCTGCAAATACATCGGAGATGAAACGTTTGGCTGTTCAGATTCCTCGCTTGACTGGGCAGTTCTGAATCGGAGAACTGACGTCGGAGACGAAACGTTTCTTGACTCATCGCCGGAGTCATAGCCGGAGTTCGAAGTCGCGTTAACTTCCACCGCTCCCTTCGCCGGAGGATTGGCGAAGTTGGTCAACGCATCTGGCCCACGGAGCTTAATGGCGGCATTATCATAAACCATGGCCGCCTCCTCCGCCGTATCATAAGTCCCCAACCAAAGCCTGACCCGTTTAGTCGGGTCTCGGATCTCGGCGGCCCATTTCCCCCAAGGGCGTTGCCGTACACCCCGGAACTTCCTAATCCCGCCGGCGGAGTCCAAAGAGCCCGGACCATCCTTACTCTTCATCGCCTTCTGCCTCACCTGAAGTGGCTCCGCCGCCCTCCTCTTCCCGCTTTTCACATTTACCGCGTCGGAAACGGATCCCGGCCCGCGATCAAGCCGAATCTCGTGAATATACCTCTTCACGCGCTGCCGTCCGACGGACTCCTCCTCTTCCCCGCCGGAGGAATCGGTAGCGTCCGGGTCGGTAACCGATATCCGTACCGTCCGGCGACCATCGTGAAACTTGTGATTGGGTTTACTGAGAAACTGTTTCACAACGTTTCTGTGCTCTGTATATTTGACCGGAGAAAACATACTATAATCCATACTCATTCTCTCTGATTTGAGAAATAACAGACGATATATAGAAGTGAGGAGCAGAAAGTCAAAAAGATGGAGAGATTCAGGAAAAATCTGACATCATTGAATGATGAAAAAGTATCGGAGAAGGAGATGCTCTGTTTTTTGCTCTGTTTTCGCTCTAGAGACTGAGTAGAGGAAAGTGAGTGACATAATGGAGCCTATAGAGGATGGACCGCCTTATATAAGGCCCGGCCCGGCGGGATTATTAAATTTAAGGAATCGAATTAAATAAAATTAAAAATTTCTGCACCATTTATTGCGACAGAAGACTGTATTTCTTTTTTAATAAAAAAATATAAATGCCTGTGGAAAGGCACGTGGGCGGGAAAGCCTAGACGTTGCAACCAGAGCCGGAAACGGTAGGGCCAACAAATCCGGCCACTGCCGACAGGAGGCGACACTGCCCCGATATAGCGTACGACACGTGTCATTGACGCGCCAGGGTGGTCCAATAGATGAATATTTGGCGGAGATGAGTCAGCGGTAGAGTTTATTTCTGTCTAGGATTACGTGTCGCCGGTCACGTGACACCCCGGATGCCCCGGTCCAGATTCAAATATCGCGCGAGCAATTAAAACCTATGGTAATTAGACACTAACAGCTAATTTCTTGACCGGACCATTAATATGTCTCCATAAATTCATGTTTAATAGTTAATACTGTGTTTAATTACGAAAACGGAATCCGTCGCGGTAAGTGCCGGGTACTTTATGCGAACGTATACAACGCATGAATAAAAAAGAATGGAAATGCAAATCTCGGATTTTCGAAGAGATTTTGATCTCTAAACTTTGAGATTAAATAGGAAGGTGATATAATCACGATTAGGGAAAGAATATCATGTAATAACATTTCAAAAGGTACGGTCACTATTAAGGATGTTTTATTTTGGAATGAAATTTGCTGGTCTGGTCTGATCTGGTCTGGTTTGATCTGGTCTGAACTGGAAAACTTCTGGTCTCTGTGTATTTTATAATTACAGAAGTTTGGTATAGTTTGGTCTTGAACTGAAAATAGTCCAAAAGAAAACATCTAACTACGAAGTATAATAACCTAAATAGGGCTAAACTATCTCTAAGATTGAACACGTCTACTCCACGGGCTACTAAGCGGTGTTTATTAAGACTTGTGTTGATTAACGATGCGTAAAATAAGAATTGTTATAAGATCATGTTTACTTCACAGGATTTAAAACATTGTTTAACATAAAAATATCTAAACTATCTCTGTGCATATATTGAAACACAAACATCCATATACATAAGTATATGCATGTAACAAGTGGGGGCCACCCGTACCCATACCCCTAACCCCGCCCTACCCTACCCCCAATTCCAGCCCTACACCTCTACTCATCACTAACCCCCTACCCCTACCACCTGCTCCCCTACCACCTCTTACGAGTACCCAACCCTACCCTATTACCCAGTCCCATCCCTTATCGCCTACCCCAAACCCCTACCACCCACACCTATCCATTGTCTACCTCTACCCCTACTATGACCATACCTATACCATGACTATACGCCCTATGTCCTACCCCTACCCCACCCTTACCCGACTTGTACCCTACTCTACCCTTATCCTGGTCCTCAGCTATGGGGTAGGGGTATGGACCATGAGTAGGGGACAGGGTAGGAGTACAATGTAGGGTACCGGGGGTTGGGGTAGGGGTATGGGGTCAGGGTAACGGGGGAGGGTAATGGGGAGGGGGTAGGGCCCAGGGTAGGGGTAAGGGGTGCAAGTACGGGGGACGTTGGGGTAGGGGTAAGGGTATATTTCCAAACTAAAAAAGTTTAAATTGTCGCTTAATTAATACATAAGGGGTGATATGTTTGGTAAACGACATTTTAAGTATCTGTTTTGGTTGGTAAGCAGTTTTTAAGCAACTTGCGTGTTTTCTTCAATCTTACTAAATTAACAGTGACTTTAGCAACGATATAAACTCGTCTTGAATGTACAAGTAGTAATATGTTATTTAGAGCATCTTTAATAATACTACCGATTCTAGAGAATGCAGTGCCACATGAATAAAATTGAAGTGGAAGTGAAAATAGCCTCTTCAATGCAGCTATTTATATTCAAAATGGGTCTGAGTTGGCAATTTAAAAGACGCACACTGCCAGTTTAAATTTCTAATTATAGAAAGTCTCACAGACACCGTGACTCAGCAAATTATCATCTTAATTTAGTTTTAATTCAATTCTAATTTATTTGTAGCATAAAATAATAATAACCTACGCATATTGTCGTCAGCAAACTCAACTACTCTTCTGTGAGATTTTATACAGGGTAGTAAATTGCTCGAATTATCGCCCCGACTTTAACCTTGGTCATAATCCTTCATATTGACGTACACACAGTCAGAGATGTATCTAGGTGGATAGTCTAGGCCCTGGCCCACCCCAAATTGAAAAATCTCTATATTTTTAGTGTTAAAAAAGTGTAATTTTTTTGGAAAATATTCTTTATGCCGGCCCAGTCCGACCCAGTGCGCTGTCCCTGCACATAGTAGTTTGATCAGAAAGATCACACACGAAGGGAAGTGTATGACGGACCTTCATAGTCATGGTTGATTGGCCGCCACTCCGTACATACTTTGAGCAGAAGGCTGCCGCTGTCCTCTTTGGTACATAAGACGGCGCACTAGTGTAAAAAACTCAATCTATAACAAGGATTTCATATGGGTTATAACTTACCCGTTACGGTATATACAACGCGGGGTCAAAATTTGAAATATACTCCCTCCGTCCCTTATAACTTTGCCAACTTTCCTTTTTTGGATGTCCCATTAACTTTGCCACTTTCCCATTTAAGTAAAGAATTTGTGGTTCCAGTTAATTCTCTCTCCTCTGCACAAACCTCAACCACACAATTTTTACTTTATTAATCCCCGTGCCGGTCAAACTTGGCAAAGTTATTAGGGACGGAGGGAGTAAAAAGTATTTTGCCTTATAGTGGGTCTGAATTAAAATAAAGAACCTCTTTAATATGGGTTACAGATGTGGCCGAACTACCGCCGAAGTAAAAAGTTGAAAACGGGGTCTATATTAGAATATTTGAAACATAATGATAGCAGCGGGGTCTTTTTTATAATTTTTAAAACTACTTATCTATGTCTGTTCTACGTCTACCGTTATGAAAACATTTCAGTTTCAATATTAATGCTCTATACTCTATGACCTAAATCTTTTAACTAAAAAAGCTGTAATTCATCATTAACCGGCAATAGAATCGCCGTTCCTTCACCGGCAATCGGACATTGTTCTCATATCACCAACACTTCATCATTCTTCCATCTTCTTCACAGGATCTAAACGATCTATCTCTTTATCGACCTATATAGCTGGGTACGAAAAAGTATCGTCTTTTCGAAGTAGGTGATGCCAAATCGAATCGTCGTTCCTTCACCGGTGTTCGGACACGGTTCTCAGATCACCAATAGTTCATCATTCTTCCATCTTCTTCACAGGATCTATCTATTTTCTGCGCTATTTAGCTAGGTACGAAAAAGTATTGTGTTTTGATATACTACGTATATTTATTACCTAAGTATTTTAAGGAGTTTGTGTTAAAGATTTAAGTTTTGCATAGATTTTTGTTTCGTTTTTGTTTAATAGCTTTAAACTTTGGGAGATGGCGTAATTTGTTTTTGAAAAACTACATGGTAATGTATATAACGTGTTTGTAAAAATGTCTAAATGAGAAATTTTATTCTTCAAGCAGAATTGGATTTAGTTGCGGATATACAACGTATAGGTTCTTGACTTGTTAGACACCTGCCTTCCAACTCTAAAATCTTAGTGGATATATTGAAGATTTCAGGGGATGGATGAAGGCCAGAAAAGATTCCAAGAACATTTAGACAGGACTAAAAAAACTGAATGTGGAAGTTCTTATGTCCTTTTCTTGAAGGATACTTGGGCTACTTATTACAAAAGAAATACGAGTATGAGGATGTATCTTTTTTTAGGGCAGCTTCTATTTTCCCTGGTTAGGCAAGATTGAGTGATCTTTATAACTTAAAAATCTCTGTAACGTATCTTCAATTTTCAGGACAAGAGTGAGAAGTGTTTATCCTCTCTTCAGGACCCACCATTTGTTGTTGGACACCACCGACTGCCCACTGCCTCTATCCACCTCCATCTTCCACCATTTCAGTAAAAATGCTTATTCTTCTACTCATTTGAAATATAACCATTATAATACGTAGGGTTTGATGTTTAGATAATTTTTGTTCAGGCTTGATGTATGAAATATAATGAACATGTTCTTTTGTTGGATTAAATTGGTGCATGTTAAGCCACTTTTGTAAAGTGTATGGCTACAGATCTTAGTAAAAATCTTAAACCACTTTTGTTCATTGATTATGAAGAGTAAGGCTAAGCTTTTACTCAATTTAAACATAAAATAGGAAGGGTCATAACCATTAGCTCACTTTTCATTAGTTTTATTTTTGAGTTGATGCAGATTGCTTTGTCACTCATATGCTAGCATTATTAGAGTGCATTATTATCAGAACAAATTTCCTTTATAATTGAAAAGTGACAGAATAGCATTAAATATCGTTATTGAATATAAATTATCTCCTTTCTTCTATGGATCAGTATCTTTTTTATTTAAGTGCGCTGTTAATTAAATTCACAATAGATGTTGTTTAGCTCAAAATAAGATGTTACTGTTTTGTACAGAAACTTTGCTCTAATGTCATTTTGTTTCAGTTAGTATCTCTAACAAATTTACTTTTGACCTTGCATGCCTCCAAAATATGTGTTCTGTTTACAGAGCAAAATATCTTTTTTTACTTATCTGGGTAATTTGTTTGAGCCATTATTTTTAAATTAGATTTATCTTGAGAGTATAATCAATGTACTAAGTTCTTAAATGTTTGTTGATAACAGTGGCTTCTAGCCTGTGAAACTAGAAGAAAAAAGGTCCACATAGGAGCAACTATTAACTAGCTCTGATCTCTTTACCAAGTAGAGACATAGAGTCCATACTATTATATATGTAAATGACTTGCATATTTCATTTGTGTGCATCCCATAGATTTATTGACCTGTATTGAACTTAAATTTTAATCATGCTGTTCTAGCGCTAGGTGATTTATGTTTGCTTTTATGTTTGCTAACATTATCTATAAT